GGCGGCGGGGCCTTGGGGCGCGTCACGCAAGGTCTTGTTTCGGGTGGTGGTTTGGGGGTGTTCAAGAGCTGGGCCGCCCGCGCCCTGCGTGCTCACGGTTGTACATCCCCCCATGCTTCTCTCAGTTCTCTGTCCTTTCCTCCTTCCTTCCCCCTCGCCTTGTTTTCAAAACGCTGTTCTCCCCCTTCTCTCACAAGCACCCCACCCTCCGTGACCTCTCCCAAAACCTCGCCTTCCTCAGCTCCCTAGCAAAATTAAGATTACCGAATTTCTGAAAAATGTCATCCTAGTATTTAATTTTGACATCTGCCCCCCCCCCCGCCTTCCCAGTGCATTTAAGCTTAACCTGTCCTTTCTTGCCTTTGTGCTGTCCGTCTTTAAACCCTGAATTGCTTCTCTAGCTGCTGTATCATTGCGTTGGCTGCAGGGATTTCGTCCACCTTCGCCTGTTGACCCTGCTCCCGGGCAGCGCTGGAGAGCTACGTTGTCTTTTGATACCTTACAGGAGTTGCTCTGAGCGAAGCCCAACTTCTCCCGATTTACTCTTTCACCGTTATCCTCTTTGATCTCAGGTTTCGCCTTGGATTTTATGAAACATTCTTTCTTTCTACAGTCTCTCAATAAAATATTCTCTGGTGCGCTGCTCTTGTTCACCTTTTTTATTCTATTTGTTGGTGGTGGGTGCTACTCTGAAACAACGTGTACCTTCAGAGAAGGCAGGTGTGTTGGCAATTTTAAAATCCACCTGCTTGCCCGACTGCTCTTCAATATCAAGTTTCTTCCCTTTCATTCCAGCTATTTTTTTTATTCTGCCATCCTTAGTCACTACTTCATTTCTTTCTTTCAGTATAGTCTCCTTGCATAAACTTGTATCTTGCCTTCTTTTAAGCTCTTCTGCTTCCTTTATTTCCTGTGTTTTTAAACTCTCATAACTTTGCTTATAGATTTCCTGAACCCTTTCTCCTCATCGTCTCTTTGTGTTTGGACTACTGCAATTTACAGAAATTGCTATTTTAGGTTATGCTTGTGAGTCATATGGTCTCTTTTGATCTTAAGTGGTACTGTATATTTTGGTACTGCACATTTGTTGTAGTGAATAATTAAAAAACAACTCGTTGGGGAAATACTTTCCCACTCCTTGCTGATTGGTGATTGGACCATGCCCTGTGCTAAGAGTGCCCAAAGTCCCTGTTAAAAAGTTCATTTTTACTCCAATTTAAGATACCTTTATTAATTCAAATAACCTGACCTTGCTGATATTCTCTGGCAGTATTATGGGAAACAGTTTTTGATTACAAATTGTTATTTATAGCTTTTAAATTTTGTCTCTTTGTTTGGAAAAGATAGTGTGGAACTCTCACTCTCCCATTTGCAGTTTATGCTGATTTGCTTGCACAGTCACAGCCTTGTACTACTATTTGTATTGGGAAATCTGATATTCCTACTCATTTCATTGTTCATTCCCCTCTGTCTAACCTCCAGGTCTAATTCTGCCATTTCTTCTCAAAACTAGCGCAAGCAGATATTATTTTTATTCTTCAGAGCCAGGTTCTGGGTCGTTTGTACAGCCTTTACTCTTTGGTCAGTGGGTGATTGCATTCTGTTGGGACTATTTCTTCTGCAATAATCTCCTTCAAGCAGATTTTTGGAAAAATAGTCTTATGAACCTTTCTTTGAAAACATTGTGTATGCATAATGAGAGGATCTAGAATATATGAATCCAGGCGATTTTCGCTCCCCCATAGCTGCTTGCCTGGCTTCCTGTTTGGCAGTGCACACGAGCCACTGACTTCACAAAGGAGTAACAAAAGAGTCGCCTCGATATTCTGTGGAAGAAGCACCTCTGGCAGCCTTAGCCCTGTGCTGAATCCAAAGTAACACCGTTTTTACTTCGTGCCAAGTTTGAAGCAGGATACTGAGATCCGCTCCTGGCCATCCAAGAAGAGCACGTCCTGTCTGGCCATATCATGGTTTGCCGTCACACATGCAAGACGGGAAGGGAGGCTTCCAGGAGGGCTGGAAGCCTGGTAATGCAAAGACCTCTCTTTTGCGAGGGTTCTTTCTTTAATCTGTGCCACCAGCGTTCCTATGATCAATTTATTTTTTTGTTTTCCCTGGTGAATTTGAGCAATTAAAAAGTAAAGGACAAGAAACTGTATCTGGAAGTATCTGTCACTGAGATTTTCTGGATCAGTTAGGAGCAGAGCTCTTTTTACTGCAGAAACAACCAGTTTTCTTTGTAATGCGGATTTCAGACCGTCTTCCCTCTGAACTGGAAGGGCAGAAAGGTGACTCTACCCTGCAGATATGTCAGTTGACTGCCATGGTAGCTAAATGCATTGCCAGGGTATTGCTGTGTGATTCCTCTTGCCACCAAGTGCCAGAATCGCACCGGTCATCAGACTGCAGTACTGTGAAGGACTGTGAAGAGGGCGTAAGCTTTCACAGTGCGGTGAGGAATGCTTTCAGAGGGAGAGTCCATGCCCTAATCATGCCCAGATCTGAAAGTTACTGCAGTTAACACCAAAAAGCGGGTGGTCTATAGCAGCGCTGATGGGGCCTCAGCTGGAGCGCTCTGTCTAGTTCTTGGCAACAGCCGTCAAAAAAAGATGTGTGCCAATTGTTGGCTGCCAAGGAAAAGAGAAAAGAAGCAAGATATTTGGAAAACATGACTGAAGGGAACTGACATTTATTTAGTCAAAAAGAAAGGAAAAAAGACAAAGAGTTAAGTCCTCAGGAAACCAAAAGATGATTGAAAAGACAATGATTAAGCTGTTCTCCTTGTTCCCGACAGAAAGGATTAGAAATAACAGGTTTAAGTTGAAACAGTGAAGACTTAGGTCAGACATTAGAAAAGATACTGTTTGGGTATTTAACTGTCCTGAGAGACTTG